TGCATGCGGGGCGGGAGGGCAATGCGGCTGAGTCTTGTTGAGAGCCAGGAAGTGAAGGGAGGGAGAAAGGACACAGGGCTTTGCGAGGGAGGGAAACAGTGGCAAACGTCGGCTGCATGTGGGAGCAGGTGACAAACAGAGAGGTGACAACAGGGCGACACCGTTAGGTAGCCGAAGAGGTGCAAGACGGTTCAAAGGTTTGGGTGCATCTAATCCTGTGGAACAGTACATAGGTGGAATGTGAGGAGGGATGAGGAAAAATAACTTGTGAGAATTCTCACAAGTGATTGGAACAGTACATAAGTGGAACGTGAGGAGGAAAAGAGGGGAGAAGGAAGAGAGGGGAGAAGGAAGAGAGGGGAGAAGGAAGAGAGGGGAGAAGGAAGAGAAAGGAGAAGGAAGAGAGGGGAGAAGGAAGAGAGGGGAGAAGGAAGAGAGGGGAGAAGGAAGAGAGGGGAGAAGGAAGAGGGGAGAAGGAAGAGAGGGGAGAAGGAAGAGAGGGGAGAAGGAAGAGAGGGGAGAAGGAAGAGAGGGGAGAAGGAAGAGAGGGGAGAAGGAAGAGAGGGGAGAAGGAAGAGAGGGGAGAAGGAAGAGAGGGGAGAAGGAAGAGAGGGGAGAAGGAAGAGAGGGGAGAAGGAAGAGAGGGGAGAAGGAAGAGAGGGGAGAAGGAAGAGAGGGGAGAAGGAAGAGAGGGGAGAAGGAAGAGAGGGGAGAAGGAAGAGAGGGGAGAAGGAAGAGAGGGGAGAAGGAAGAGAGGGGAGAAGGAAGAGACTCACTGAAGCCAGGGAAGCCAGGAGCCGGCTTCCAGCCTCTGAACGCCAGGTCTGAGGTGTGTTGGTGGCATGAGGAAGAAACACGAGAAGTGTATCACACTCAAATAAGAGAAGCTTGCTAAATACCATGGTGAATCTGCAGAGTGCCACAAGGTGACTTTTGAGTTGACTCAAAAGTCACCTCAAATTAGAGAAGCTTGCTAAATACCATGGTGAGTCTGCAGAGTGCCACAGCAGCAGCTGATATGGTACAGCGCACACACTATGAGCGGGTTAAAAAACAGCACCGAGCGTAGTGCCTAAACCCTGAACCCGAAATTAAATAAAACAAACTACTGGATTGAAAGTAAAAAGTGACCACGCACCAAACTCAGAATGCCTATAGAATCCTGCCGGTTCAAACATCACAGCCTCGCCCGATAAATGAGGTGCCTCAAAAGGTGTTCCGTATGTTACATGCATGTTACCGCACGGAATTCTTAGATGCATGTTACCGTACCGAACTCAGAATGCCCATAGTATCCTGCCGGGTCAAACGTCACCGCCTCGCCCGGCCGAAGCACACCCGCGTTGCCCACCTGGGGACGGATTGGGGAGGCCCAGCGCAGACAGGCAAGGGAGGGTAAGGAGGGCAGGTACATAAGACTCTGAGTCGACTCAAAGTATCCTGCCGGGTCAAACATTACCGCCTCGCCCGATCGAAGCACACCCGCCTTGCCCACCTGAGGACGGATTGGGGAGAGGAAGGGCAGGGAGGTACATAGACTGTGAGTTGACTTTTGAGTCGACTCAAAAGGGCAGGGAGGTACATAGACTGTGAGTTGGATCAGAAGAATGCTGTCTTGATCCGTCTCGAGATAAGAATCCAGCAGGACGGATAGGAAAGGGGAGGTGGGGACAAAGAAACGCAAACGCGGGGACACTGCCGGCCGGCATGTGGGTACTGTTTAACTGATGATACGAGCTGCTGGAAAACACAGGAAATCCTCAAAAGCCACGTGATTTTGCTTTGGTGCACCCTGCAGTATAAGCAGTTCTAAAAAGAGTGTGATAAATGAGGAACAGATGTGAGAAGGTCATTCAAGGCATTTTCACACACTAAAATATTCAACTCATATGGGTATTACCCAGAGGTCTCCATGAAGCAGGCTCGGCCGAACCTCCGCCATAGCTTTGGTTGTCAGAATCCGCTTGGCCGCCTCAATCAGGCTTGGCACAATGTCCCGAAGCTCCCAAGCCTCGTCACCAAACCTATCCAGAACTCGCTGGTGAATAAATGATAGGATGAACGTGGATAAGTGCATAGCCAGTGACACCAGCACAGCGATAATCGTGGATAAGTGCTGGGTAAGTAAGTAGGGAAGTAAGTACTGTAGATAGATAAGTGGTGCACATGCAATGTCAGTGAATTTCGCACTAAGAGATTTGAACCAAAAAAAAAAAAAAATATATATATATATATATATATATATATATATATAGAGTCAGGCAAACAAGAAACATTCAATGAGCCCTGGTGCCTATCGGAAGAGAGGCGACACAGCAGTGAATATTGCAGCAGTGGATCTGAAGGAACTTTTAACTAAGCATACACATGGGACGTACGTCGAGGCGGTCTTGTAACCGGTGGGTGAGGAAGAAGTCAGGCCAGGAGGAAGAGAGGGGGACGTTGACTAGAGGCATTACGCCGAGGCTGGGAGAGGGGGGAAAGAACGAACGACATATACGTACATAGATATATGAACAACACAGTTGTTTTTTTTTTTTTTTTTTTTTTCCGCCGTGGCACGCACAAAGCTGCATCGCATGGGAGCGTTGGATAAAAGGCACGGTTTCATGTATCCGTACCGTGTGGGCGAGTTGAAACCGAACTGGACCCCAGGCATGGAAGATGACACGAGGTGCAGCTGTGCCAACGACCGGCCCAGCTGCTCCTGATTGGCTGGATCCATCTGAAATGGAACAAGAAGGGTGGGGTGATATGAGGAGACGAGGTAGCAAAGCAATCAGGCTTCGCTAACAGATACTTTCTGGCGTATTATTGAGTGATCATTCTACACTGGGTTTTGGAATTTAGGTCGCACCATGGCGAATGTTCGCAGCTGCAAATGCGCCATGATTATGAATGACCCTCCCTCTATCCATGGGATTCGTTGCCTAGAGCTGAGTCACACTATAACGAGATTTAGGGTCGCACCATGGCGAATGGGCGCAGCTGTAAATGCTCCATGATTATGAACGATCCCCGATGCGACTCGTTGTTGGGAGTAGTGGCAGACGAGGGGGGAGAAGAGGAGGAGGAGGGGGTTCGAAAGTCCCCTGTTGTGATTGGACGAGGCACTCGCACGGTTTCCGTTGCTGCAATTGCTGACAGGCTGGCAGGGGAGGGGGACGGGGAGGGGGAAGTGGAGGGGGAGGGGAAACGAAGAAGCTGTGAATGACTGGGATATGGAAATGAACGAGGCGTGGGGAGGGGTACATGGAGACATGGTGAGAGTGAGGGGCATGGAACGTAGGAGGGTATGGAGGAAGGAGAGGGGTGAGGAGGAGGGGGTGAGTGACTGGGATATGGAAACGAACGAGGCGCGGGGAGGGGTAGATGGAGACTTTTGAGCCGACCCAAGAGGCGTAGGTAGGGAGGGGTACTTAGAGGCATGGTGAGGGGCATGGGAAGGGGCATGGGAAGGGGCATGGGAAGGGGCATGGGAAGGGGCATGGGAAGTGGCATGGGGAGGGGCATGGGAAGGGGCATGGGAAGGGGCATGGGAAGGGGGAGGGTATGGAGGAAGGAGAGGAGTGAAGAGGAGAGGGGTGTAATGGGGAGCATTGGTACGTGCATGGATCTATAAGCACGCGAATTGTTTTTACTACACGCACGCAGCTCACTGAGAAATGTCTACATCTCACGTGCATGGATCGAAAAGCACGCGAATGGGCACAGGAAGGACAATGAATGAGGAGTGGGAGGGCATGGGAAGGGACATGGGGCAATAGAGGTGCATCTCCTGAGGCGTTTCAGACGGGCAAGGCACTCACATTTGGGCTGGTTTTTTAGGTGCCTTGAAAATCATGGGAAGGGGCATGGGGCGATAGAGGTACAATCTCTCTGACGCGTCTCAGAAAGGCACGGCACTCACATCTGTGCTTCCCCTTCGAACATTTCGCTCGCTCTGAAGCTCCTGTGCGGGCGAATGCATGCATATGGGGCGGGTGCATGGGGGGGGGGGGGGGAGATGGAGGGACAAGGCGCATGGGGAGGGGCACGGCACGGCACGCACATCCGAGCCTCCCCTTCAAACACCTCGCTCGCTCTGAAGCTCCTGTGCGGGCGAATGCACGAGGGGTGGATGGATGTACACGGTTTGGGCATGGAGAGAGGGTTTACGGGAGAGAGGGTTAGGGAAAGACATGGGCGAATGCATGGGGGGGACTGACGGAGGGAACAGAGGGATGATGCTGGAACATGGGAGAACATTTCAACTATGCTGGAACATGGGAGAACATTTCAACTATGCTGGAACATGGGAGAACATTTCAACTATGCTGGAACATGGGAGAACATTTCAACTATGCTGGAACATGGGAGAACGTGTCACGTGGGTTGGGCATACTTGCCTCCTCATATGCAGAGAAAAGGGGACTGCCCCATCCTCTCCCCCTCCTCCCCCCCTCCTCTCGCCTGTTCACTTTAACGAAGACCTTCCTCAGCCCCCCATCTCCCCCTCCCCCACCCCTCTCTCCACCTTCCCGTATCTCGCTTCTCCCCAAGCCCCCCACGCCCCACACACACCATCCCCCCCTCCCCCCCTCCTCTCACCTGTTCACTTTTTCAAAGACCGTCCTCAGGTTCCCGTCTCCCCCTTTCCTCATCCCTCTCTCCACCGTCCCCCCTCTCCCCTCCCATTCTCCCCCGCCTGTAGCTTATAGCGTACAACTCATCAATGCACCTGCTGAAATGAGGGTGTTTTTGAGACGTCTCAAAAACACCCTCACTTCACGTAGCTTATAGCGTACAACTCATCAATGCACGCACCTGCTGAAATGCACCTCTCTCACGCGCTCCACCTTCCCCCCTCCTCCCCCCCTCCTCTCACCTGTTCACTTTAACAAAGATGGTCCTCAGGTTTCCGTCTCCCCCTTTCCCACCCCTCTCTCCACCATCCCCCCTCTCCTCTTCCGTTCCCCCCCGCCTGTAGCTTATAGCATAAGACTCATTTATGCATCCACTAAAATGCACCTCTCTCACTCGCTCCACGTCCCCCACCCCCCCATCTCTTCCGCCATTCGCCCCCAAATCTCCCCCCCACACTTCCCCCCCCTCCCCCTCTCCTCCCCCCGCGTCCGCGCGCCTGACCGCCGCCATTATCTCCGCCAGCTCCGCGTCTTTCAAGCTCCCGCTCCTCCCCCCGCCCCTTCCCCCGCCCCGTGCGCCGCGGTCCCCGCCGGTCCTGCCGCCGCGCTGTCCGCCCAGCCTGCCGCCCAGCCGCCCTCCAGCCGCCGACGTTGTCGCTGAGCCTCCCGCATCCGACAGATCTTGCCGCCCAGAGCCCCGCGCCTCCCCCGCAGAGGGACTGGCGCTGAGTTCCGGATCCGACGGCCGAGACGCGTCCGGGGCATCGCCAGTCAGGCTGACGTCATCGTCGGGCGGAGCTGACGTCACGGCGAGGGAATCGGTATCAAATTCAAACCACGAACCCCCTGTCACCCACTCCGCATCCCCCCCTTTCCTCTCTCTTCCCCCTCCGCGTCCCCCTGCGCTTCCCCTTCCGCTCTTCCCCGCGCTACTCGCAGTCGCCCTGATTCGACGCCTGTCATTGGCATTGCGGGGAAACACCGTGACTGTAACGGGTGGGGCAAGACGAGGGACACATTTGCACTGAGGCCATGCCCATGTGGTTGATAAAGCCATTTGATAAACAAAGCAGAAGCAAGAATGCTGGAACTGAACACAATAAAAGGTTGATAATAAAAATAGCAGTCCACTAAACAGCCGCCCTAGCTCAGTTGGTAGAGCGCAAGGCTCTTAACCTTGTGGTCGTGGGTTCGAGCCCCACGGGCGGCGCTTTTTCCGCGTCTTTCCTTTGTGTGCGAAACCTGTTTGTGAATGCTAAGCTTTCCGGACATAAAGAATCATCCGTTTCTTTGTCAACCTTCCTTGCCACGCTTTTTGCTGCAAGTGCTTCTTCTACGGCTCGTGTTCCGCGCCGCAGCCTCGTTTGCTCTTTCTAGCACACGTCATCACGTCACATATTACGGGCTGTTGTAGAGCCGTAAAGCCTTGCACTCTAGCACAGGCTGTCACGAACGCGTTGGAGCTTAAAATCCGTACTTCGCAGAAGGCTTAACAGATCGTTGCGGAGCGTCCCACATGCTTCCACCGGCCTTGCTGCAGTTCTTGACGTACGTGCTGGAATCCGTTCTTCGCAATAGGCTTCGCAATAGGCTTCGCAAAAGGCTTCGCAATAGGCTTCGCAAAAGGCTTCGCAATAGGCTTCGCAATAGGCTTCGCAAAAGGCTTCGCAATAGGCTTCGCAAAAGGCTTCGCAATAGGCTTCGCAAAAGGCTTCGCAATAGGCTTCGCAAAAGGCTTCGCAACCGATCCCTGTCGTGGTCGCGTGGTGATGAACCAAATTGCTTGACCACTTACTGATCACGGATCACGGATAAGGCACATTCGACTCCTAGTTGACCTCATGTCTAATCTGAACGCCACATTCTTCTCACCGCCCTCTCACCGTCCTCTCTCCGTTCCCTTCATGCCCGATCCAAAGCAGGCTGATCTTCGGGTATCTCTATCCAGCGTACCTCTGCTTCAAAGCCATCAGGAAGCGACGGCCGGACGTCAAGGAACTGCTATGGTTCTGCCAATTCTGGTGCGAGTTTCTTCTATCCCTGTTATAAAAGAGTGTTTTTGAGACGTCTCAAAAGCCCTCTTTTATCACGTGGCTATCTCTGCTTCAAAGCCATCAGGAAGCTGCGGCTTGATGTGAAGGAGCTGCTATGGTTCTGCCAGTTTTGGTGCGAGTCCTTCTCATCCCCCCTGTCCTTTTGAAAAGTCTCAATGACCAGCTTGTCAAGGAGCTGCTATGCTTCTGTCAGTTCTGGTGCGAGTCCCTTGCATTCGTCTTCCTGTTCGTCATCAGCTCCACCTGCCATTGTAGGAAACACCAATGAGTGTCAACTCAGAACACACCTCAGTTCTGATGCGAGTCCCTTCCATTCCTGTCCATGCTTGTCATCTGCTCCACCTGCATAACCAGGAAACACCAGTGATTCGTACCTTTTATTATGCAACCATGTAATGCTTTTCATTCTGCCAAAAACATATGTTTCTTGGCCATTACTTCCCCGCATATGCTTCTCGCCCGCTTCTTTCAGGGTACTCATTGCCCTCGTTACAGTCACAGAGCGCCTGGCTGACCCCATACTGGAACGGTAAGCATTTGTGCAGGAAAGCCATCTTGGTCAGACATTGCCAGTTGCCCCAACCCACTCATTCACATCTTGTGAGAACCTTTCCATTTTCCAAGCTTATGGGGTTTTTTTTTTTCCACATACGGAGGGCAACCATGGGTTTTTTTTTTTTTTTTTTTTGGCCAATGAGACAAAAATGTGCCGCTTTAATTGTATCCATTCCTTTTTACCCCTCTAGACATATTCTGTGTACTGGACAGGCTGCCTATGTATCCAGAGGCGAAGCTGCTTCTGGTCATTTACCTCTGGTACCCTGACAACAAAGGCACAGACCACGTTTACAACAACCTGCTGCAGCCAGTGCTGTTACAGAACGAGGAAGACATTGACAAACAGGTGGATGAAATCAAGGGGCGTGTGAGTGATGTAGTGAGCCAGTTGCAAACTGTTGTATCGGCATACATGCAGGGGTTTGTGGATGAAACAATCGCTTACCTGACTGCTGTTTCGGCCCAAGCAGCAGCAGTGGCTGCAGCTCAGCAGCAACGGCAGCAGGCGAGGCAGCAGCAGCAGTGGCAGCAGATGGTGAGTTGATTTCACAATCAAATTGGCAGCATATTATCGTCTTGACTCTAGCCCCAAAACCCCCAATCGCCTCCACGGAGCTGCTCGCTATTTCTCGTTTCCCTTGCTTGCAGATGACTGGTGCTCCTGATAGCACTCTGGTTGGCACACATGTCATGCACACCTCAAGACATTTAGATGCACCACAAGAGGTTGCTGATGTTGACCAAGGACAGTCAGGCACTGAAAGTTATGTGGAGGAGGAGCAAAGCATGGAATATGCCACTGAGGGTGGGGAAGAAACAGTTCTTCTGCCTGATCGTGATTCAGCCCAACAACGTGGCTTTCTCGGGTTTAGCTTCCTTCGTCGTGGCCGTACAGCGGCCTCTCAAACATGAAATTCCGCTCCTTTCCCGTGCGTGTTTCTAAATCTTGTTCACATGAAAATGCTCATGATTGTGCCTCGCATGGGGGTATTGTTCTAGCAGCACTGCACATTTGTGTAACAATGCTAGCAGACCACAATGGCTGGATTTCTCTAGCTTCACTTCAGAATTTCCAGGGCTGAAAGCAGGGGCATGAGGGGCAAGGTGGATGAATATTGAAGGTTGAACCACAAGAGAAGGGTACACTGAAGGTAAAGATCCTAGCCTCTACGAACGCCTTCACCCTTCATCATGTGGAAGTACTGAAGCCAAGCAGCTTCCAAAGAGTTTGTAAAGCTCCTTCACTACCCACACATGACCTGGCCAGACAATAGGCAGGAATGAGGCATGGCCAGCGTGCAGTTTCTGCAGCCAGCCTGAAGAAATTATGTACAGAAGGGCGCTGAGAAGATAAGTTCAAATTGTTACCACCTTCAGACTTTTGGAGTGTAGCCTCTTGTCCTCTGGACATAATCCACATACTCCTCATAGTGGAGAGTGAAGATGGAAGACTGGTAACGAGTCACACGAAGCTTTCTTCTGAGTGCATCAGTGATTGGTCCGCTATAACCAGCTTTTCTAATCAAAGAATCCACGGCCTCAATCTTAGTCCAACCTGCAGATAAATAGGGGCTCAACATGTTGAAATTAATAAGAAAACCCGGCACAACTATGAAGGCAAACAACTGAGAAGAACCGTGAGGGGAAAGATGGGAGAAAAAAGAGGGATGGTCAGAGAAGGAAAGAGGGGGAAAAGGGTGAAAACGGGACGAAGAGAGTAGGAGGGAATGGGGACAAAGAATACGGAAAGGACGAACAAAGGGGGGGAGGGGGTAGGAGAAGAGCAGCAAAGGAACTCACCTTCATGAAGGGCACTTCTGGCAAATAAGTGGCACTTCTCTTTGTGTTTTGATGATCAAAGAATTCAAGAATCATTCCGTGTGTGCCAACCTGCAAGTTGATGCAACCATACCATACACGTGTAAATTTGTGTGAGAATCTGTTGTATTTTGAAGACAGGGAGATTACGATGGCATATAGCTCTCCCTGAACAACGAGCCCCAGAGCAGAGAAGCTTACATCCCAATCAAGATGATCAACCGCAACCTCATAGTTGGTCAGAACTGAAACAGTCACTTGGAGATTAGCAATCTCGCGAGGCTGTATGGGAGAAAACCGGCGGTCCCTTAACGCACTGCATGAACAATTTCGAGAACATGAAGATTTGCACCGTGTGATATGGATGGAAAGGAAATGAGGCGTTAAAGGGTTGGAAACACGTGGGTGTTTCGCGAAATCATACCTTGTAAGCGCGTAGTCCTTAAATCCAGTTAGTACACAGCGAGCTTCGAGCGTTCCGATGCAACCTCGCAGCCGAGCCTCACCAGTATCCGAGACTTTCTTCCAGGTAACAAATAGTGGGCTGCACACTCACACAGCCCAGAAAACCGATCAGAATGGAACGTTTTTCTTTGCCGATAGTACTCAAACTAGCGGCAAACAAATTTCGCGCTGCTTACTATTGGCCACCCTCGAAGGCGGGAGGAGGAGGATCGTCACCGTTGTAGTGGGATAGCAGATTGTCGAAACAATACACCGCCATTTCTTTACAAGCGCCAACCATGGCTTCAATCCTGTGCCTAGCAAGCTCTAGCGACCCGCGAGAACAGCAACGAAGCCGAGGTATCAACCTCAGCTTCCAGAAGCCACAGAATCAACTCAGGTCCGTAATTTGGCAGTACTTCTTCCCGTGATCGGTTTCCGCGAGGGAAACGGAAAAAATAGTGCACGCTTGATCTGCTTTCCAGACGTCAGTCATTGATGAGTGAAGGGGGAAACCCATCATCAATGAAGGTTGTCAGATCATTACGTAACCGTTACTCCCTCAATTGAGAGATCCCCGATATCCGTCGCGCTTCCTCCGGACACATCCACGATTTTGTATATGATTTTAGACTTCTCAGATATTGATTGGTTTCCATAATCACAAGGTTGTGCTCATTTAGTTCCACAGTATTTTATATGGACAACGTGATGGTCACTAATACATTGGCAGGGGCACAAACGAAGTACCACTCTGCTCTACAATTATACACTCAGCATTGAAACAGTGTGCAACCTAACCCAATGTCCTACAGTACTTTCCTCAAAAAGGAAGAGCATCCAAAACGGTGGCGGTTAACCCCATCTACATCTGCTCACACGCAGGTCATGGCAAGCTGCTGAAGGGCAGGTGGAAGACTGCTGGCGCATTTATGAGACCAGGCACTGTGGATGTATTGGTGGAGGCAAGTCCTTGGAAAATGGTTAGTGGAATGGATGTCTTTTGGGATGGGAACGGGGAAAAGCTGATGTGCCAGTGTCCAAAATGCACTATGAGGGGAACAACAGTGCTGGCTGGTCACCTTCAACACCATCGGCAGCACCTATTGTAGCATCAGAGCGGCTGCTGCTTGTGTGAGAGATCCTGTGGCGTGCAGTTGTGCATGTGAGTGTCTGTGTCGCTCGTCCCAAGGAGCAAATGTCCGGCCTTCTCGCATGTGCCGCACAAACATGACAAAGTTGCGCCAATTGTCCGGCCGAAACAAGCACTCGTTCATGCGTAGGAATGTGAACGAGGACATTGGGGCCTCATGGGAGAAGCCATCGAACTGCAACCTCGATTTCCACACAATCTGTCAAAACAGCAGAACAGAAAAGGGAATAACAATTAATGTCAGGTTCAACCGGTGAAGTGAACACACACAAACGTGGAATTGAAAGGATAGCATCAGTTATTGCAAAATACCTGATTGAAAGCTCCCTCGTCGAACCGAGGCAGAGCATTCTCTCCTGAGACCCTTGTGCCCGCCACATGTGCTGCATGTGCGACTTGCCGGAGTAGCCCCTCCGGGCTGCACAAGGCATACCATGGCTGCTCCGCGTCCTTCATCTCAATACATGTGAAATTGAGCACAGCGCCATGTCTGGCGAACATCCGTGCCAGCGGAATGTAGCCGTCGCGGAAAATGGTGTTGTAGTAACCCGCTGTGAGCTCTGGTGGATGCGACTTGGTGCCGTAGTGCCAGTGGATACCTGCCACCTTGCCCGAGATGGACGTGTTGGTTCCACGGAAAATTGATGAAGCTGAGGAAAGCACTCGGTCGCCATGTTGAATTAGCATCTCAGAGTACCACTGGATGCGGGAAACGGGGAAATGTGAGACGGGAAAAAGGTCAGCTTTCAGACATTCAGCTTTCGGAAGCATCACAGCAAGCAATGGAGAAAATGTTGAAGCGAATGTTGTTAACGCGAATGTGAGAAAAATGAAAACACGCTCTAATGATGGTGGTGATGCGCACAGTAAGGGATCACTACTACTAACCTGCAAAAAGAAGTGACCGTATTGGGAGTTCCAATTGCCGAACTCGTGAAAAAAACCTGTTTCTTGAGGCCACTGCTTGTAATAACCAGAGTCGTGCGGACCTCCAAGTCCCCAATTGGGCTTTCCGTTGGCTTCGGCCGCTGCTCTCAAGCTCGAAAGCATGTACTGCAAAAACACGACAGCAGCAGGACCATTGTTTAGCAAGCGAGAAAAAAAACAGCTTTTAACTGTTAAATGCTTCAGCTTGGAAACCGTTTAAATATGCAATGACGCAGTAGACAAAGAACATACGACTCGGGTTAGAGAAGGCTGCATACCTTGTCGTAGCACTGAAACTCGCCAATTCCAGGAAATTGCCACATTCCGTTACCCTCTGGATATGAGGGGTACCGAAGCTCGCCGGCAGGACCCATGCCAACTTGTATTTCCTGCAAGGGAGAAATAATACAAAGTCAGAATATTCGTACAAAAAAAATAGCAAATAACGACTTCATCGAGCCTTTGGTGAGAATGGACTATCACAATCGTCGACTTACTGTAATAACGGAACCGAGGTCTTCCGAGAACGCGTCCCTGAAGCTCCTCATGAAGTCGCTGTAAGCTTGAATCGGCGTCCGACCCTGAAGAACCGGAAGGTCGTCGCACCCCAGCGAAAGGTACTCTCTGTTTCTTCGTCCGGCCCGGTCCGTGTAGACAATATCGTTGTTATTGTCTATCGCCTCGTGAATCCACGGAGGTAGAGGTATCCTGCGATAAAAGCGTCGGCCGTTCAGCAAGAGCAGAAAGAGCAGTACGTTTAATGGCTTTGCAACCCGGAAAATGGCAGCCGCAAGTTGTTTACTATTGACGCCTACTAGTGTGAAGAGGAACTTGCCGAGAACCTAAGCCTTACATGCAATGGTCTCCCACGTTGCCTCCACACTGGTGAAAAGACATCACCGCCTGGACCTTCAGACCAGCTTCCTTGACGAGCGAAACTAGCTCTTTGTATGCCGACCAGTCATATCTCCCGGGCCCTTCTCTTTCTACTATTCCCCACCAAACATCCATCATGACCCCTTCCACGCCGGCGCTTTTCAAAGCTGTCAAGCTAGCTCTAAATGCTCTCGGTCGGCTTATCGTGTTGCTCATGGTTATAGAGTCCAACGGGAGCATGATAAAGACAGGAACTCCTGCACTCCTTCCTCCGCTGTCCCGCGAACTAGGAACGCTGTGCTCCGTCCACGAGGCGGTATCCAGTTGCGCGCTAGATCCTAGTCTTTCTAATCTCTCCGTCGAGCTTTTATCCTCTTGAAGTTCGTCGCTCGTAAACAGAATCCATGACTCATCGTTCTGAAGAATGTTACCACCCCACCGTTGTTGAGCGACTGGAGTACTTCTCCTTGTTAGCTCATCAGCCGAAGCGTACGGAAAAGCGCTACTTAGCCGCTCGCTCGCTAGGGATGCTTGAACTGTCGTTTGAAGCCTCTGGCAAGGTTCTGGAAGCCGCTGCGCCTGCTGCTTCTTTGGCCGAAACTTCCCTGTGCTCTCACATTTCGTTTTGCTCCTAAGTGACGGCGCCGCTGTAGAAAGCTTAGCTGTACATGCACTGCCTAGGGTCCTAGGGATGTGGGAGACGCCTAAAGCCATTCCCGAACTACGTTCTTAGCGACCAGTAAGAATAAGATGTCAGAACCTAATTACTTAGACAGTTTGGAGGGAAAGGACTGAAGAGAAGCCATAGATCTGGGCTGAGCAGGGGAGGGGGTGACTGCTGCTGATGCTGCTGATGCTGCCGCTGCTGCTGAGCAGAGAATGGAACCCTGAAGGAGAAAAGATGGGAGGGTTTGAAAACCTAGGTGGGCCTGCGCCAGCCAAACCACAATGGTTCATACCCAAGCCGTGCGTGTTACCTGTCGAACCTGACGCCTCCTTAGCCGAACCTAATCGGTCTCGCCGCAAGTGGCCTCACAGCCACCAAAGCACGGATGTGGTTTCCGAGCCTCCAGGTGTGGGACGATTAGAGGGAGTCAGGTTGCCTTGCCAGGCGCGTTATCCACACCATGCCCTCCATCCAAGGTCCAGGCTCCGTTGCAGAACTGCGCGCCTAAACTCCCGACAAACTCCGCCTTGCATGGTTTTGGGGGAGCAGTCATGCAACACGTGTTCCATGTCATCTCAGCGACAACAGTAATCAATTTGATGATAGCACAGTAACATTCGTGAACGTTGATGGATAATCCAGCAGAAAATTGTTTGCTCGAATGGCAGACCTGCGACCAGTGACGTGGAAAGAAGTCACCACTGCCCCACACAGAGGTCCGAGAAGTGCAACGGAACTGCCTTCGAGAACCTTGGTAATTGGTGGTGGAGGTAAAATGTAATTCGGAACAGTTATCGGTATTGCTAAAAAAATCCCAAGTGCAACCAACAGGGATAACCAGGCTGCTAAACAATTCATCCTTCCATCATCAATACCAATCGGCTTGCGTGCACCAATGTCCATAACCATCCAATTGACTGTTTGGCATGAACCTCCCATTTCTCGAAATGTTTTCCTCGTCATGCCAGCTCATAGCCTTATCTCCTCGGTTACACGCACACCTGGTGGCTCAGCGACACCACTTTTCCTGGGACGACGGGCATACACACGCGTATTCCCAGGAGAATGACGTAATTCAGACGTGGCACTGACCCAATGGGGAACACATACCTGTGGCAAGCCTTGAAGCTGGAAGATTTGCTGGCTGAAAGAGTAGGGTTTCCCAAGGATTGAGCGATGTGGATGTGGTTTGAGGTGGGAGTGAGATGGAAGGAAACGGTTGGTTGTAGTGCTACAGTTGCACGGCCCCCTTCCATCCAAGTTTGCCTTGTCTTTTACTGTGAGAACATACGGCACATGACCACCTCCTATTGCGATGCGGCTTACTAGAATTTTGAGGCTTGTGAGTGATCAGACACGTCTGTCCACGTGCAACATCCACATTCTATTCGAGAGCCACGGTGGTTGACGTCAGTGGGCAATGTGATCGACTGGGGCTGGCCCGAACGACTGCGTGGCACTGCAATGGAGAGACACGCTGTGATCGCTGCGTCAGCAAATGCTGAACTGCCATCGCCCTTCGCTGAAGCTTGGTCCCACCGAAGGAACTTCGAACGGGGAGCACAAGTGTCATCCCGAACGGGGGGTCCGGGGTCAGAGTTCAGGGTTTAGATGAGTACATCGGCACACAACAATGAAGTACACTGCAGTTCATGTATAAGTGAAGCGTAAAAAATCTTTTGGCTTGTCCGGCTTAAGTGAAGCTTAATAGCTGTGCTCCACTTGTGGCTGACCAGCACCTGTTTGTATTGTTTCAGGTACGGATTTAATAGCATTGCTGGTACCAGCCACAGGATTTGATGCGTGTAAAACAGTCCGGAACCAAATCAACACAGCGACGTTTATCAGTTGAACTTCCAGCCCATGGGTAATGACACCTTTTGAACGTACCGTAAGTTGTTCATGGTCTGTTTACACCTGGAGAGAGACCAATGGTGTAGATGTTCATTGCAACATAACATACCAGCAGCACATATACAGGAGGCTGTCCAAAATAGTGACATGCAACACAACTTCATTTAGGGTACATTCCTGTGGGGACACTTGTGTCTCAATCACTTTGTGACACCCAAAAACAACATAAACTGTGTTGTGTCCCAAATGCGAATCGGCTTTCGGCGACTTGTACTGTATTTATTATTGGTCAGCGTGAAACGCGCTGACATCGCTGTCGAATTGTAAAACGACCCGTCATTGTTAAAGAATCGCACGCGACTCGAAATGCCCGACACGACCACATGCACCTGGACATCCGAAAATGCCAATTTTGCGAGGGAAAAGATCCCGCGCATCGAAACCACGCCCCTGCTCGGAGGTTGAAAATACGGGTGTACTGTCACCCAGTCAAATGCACACACCTGTACATCTCTTTTTGATCCCCGCCAGTGAAACGTGTCCAACTGAACCTGCCAATATGTCGCCCTACATCGCGGTACATTCGATGTTTGTGACACAACATTGGGAAAATTAACAGGCGCGACTCGGGAAAACGGGGATTGAGACACAAGTGTCCCCACAGGAATGTACCCTTAGCCCCAATGCTTTGGGAAAGATCCTCGATTAATATTACATCAAAAATAAGAAGGGAACAATCACTGAGACTTCCCAACAAATAAACCAATCTAGGCAACAAAAGCGTTTGCTGCTGTACGCTTTGGCCTGTGCACTTCTACATCCTCCAGTCTGCATATCAACTCCTCTGAAAGCTCCATGCCAGAACCCCCTGAATCAACCTTCCCTGGGGGGGTGTGCTGAGACGCTTTTGTAGCTGCGGCAGATCCACACGAAATAAGCACAGGCGGCTTACTGCTGACCAGTGCATCCTGCTTCTCTTGTCCGCCAGCCTTCCCCACAAACTCAGAGCCAAGAGACTGATGCTTTACCTCACGCTCTCCGTCGGCCTGGTGATTCGATTTTACCTCAGAACGCCTAGCGTCATGCAGGTTTGGCTCGCCCTGCTGATCAACCTTCGCATCAGACTGGCACTGGTGTGACGACAGTACGGCACTAGTGGGACTCGGGGTCTCGGTCCTTTGCTTCTTCGCCGGAGGGGCGTTGATCGATGGAGTGGCTGGAAGAGAAAGGCAAGACGTTGGTGTTTGGCTATCGCCCTCCTTCCTCTTGTACAAGGACATGATCTGCAGCTCGACGTCTGCGCAATCATACGTTAGCACAATGGGTGTCTGGAAGCGAGGCTTCATATCAGGTGACATGATTCAGCTACTGACCTTGAAGTGTCTCTGGAGAGACGCCGTACTTGGTCCACCATGGTGCTCCTTCAGCAGCTTTCGGAAGCTGGACACTCAAGGCAGTCGCTGAAAGATTGACGCAAGCTGCCGCAATGTCCATCGGCCGAAACGGCTGAAGGCAGAGCGTGGTCCGCAAACTGAATGCCATCAGACAGCGTGGGACGTGGAAAACGAACCACGAGGGAGGTACAGATACGGATTGGTCTTGTGCTACTCAGGTCGAAATTACACTGAGCACGCACAAGGATCCTAAAGAATCCAGCCCCAAAGGACAAGGAGCAGACCTGTCATTGGCGAAGTTCCACGCGATCTGAAAGAAAGTGCGGTCCCTTTCAGACTGGCGGTTTGTGAAACCAAACTCCTTCACCACGGAGCAAATCGGCTTGTACGGATGACTGACGAAAAAATCAAAATTCATGGTAACAAGAAGAGCTTCTTCTGCCTTGACTACCCTGTCCATCTCCGCCAATAAGAGTTTCTGAAACACACACACGTGAACACATCATGCAACACCGCCTCGGAAACCACAAAACAAATAACAAAAACATTCAATCAGACTTACGGGAGTGCTCTTAATCGACTCCAAGGCCTTCGGATCCTTCTTGTTGCGAACATAGAATGACATCTCCGTTATCTTCTGCAAACTTTTGAAGTTCTCTTCGACTTTCCCAGCGAGAAGCAGGCATGCGGATGCGATAAGCTGGATAAGAACATGAAACCAGTTGTGAAAAAACAAGCCTCGCTGACAATCTTTCCAAAAACTGGATCTGCAAATAGAAAACTGTACGTACATATGGGTCGTTCTTGGACAAGGATTGAATAATGAAGAACCGTTGCCAGTAGACGAAGGCTGTAGCGATTGTGTACTGGTCCCTGCATATTAGGATGAGGTTGGTACGTTTAAGCACCTAACAAGATGCAGATACGAAAGCTCGCGAGTAACCTATGCCGGTCCTTACATCTTAAGCAGACAGCCAACATCTTGTGTGAAGGCGAGGGCCAAGCGACGATGCGAATTTTCCCGTCTCAACGACAGTCCGTCCTTTCTAGATGGAGACTGATCTTCTATATGCTTCCTAGAGAATTGCCAACTATCACAGTTTGGAGATGTTTGCATTATGCGGCTGGAGCTGCTAATCGAATGGCGGAAGAGAGCCGCCAAGCTGCTCGCTACAAGTGACAAACCCGAGAGACCTGACTTGGATCTAGCAGTCTAGACCGTAGAAACTAGTCAGAAGGTGAGGGGGGGAATGTCGCTCTGGAGCAACAGCAGCAGCGTCAACCGAAAAGAACAATCTGAAACCCTAGACTTCTTGTTTCAAGATCTCCCCGCCCACCCACAAACACGGAAAAGCAACCAAGGGACCTGCACCGAGGGCTTCCGTGGAAAACGGACTTCAACTGGGCAAGCTGACGGCGGAGGTGAACGAAGATCTCCACCGTTGTTTTTTTTCTCCCGCCGAATCTTCGACGTGGAGAGCAGGTAGACACGCCACCAATAATCGTGCTCGATTCAACTGTCAACTCGCTAGACAACTGAAGGTTCAATTGTTCGGTATAAGAGAACGTACAGTTGTTGATAACTGTCTGGTACAAATGCCTGAGGCAACCACAACAGAACATGTAGAATCCAACTCTACCACAACATAAGATATGTCCATCAAAACTTACTAAATATCATCAGACAACAATGTGGAAAGGCAAGTTTAGGCACATCTTTGAGTAAAGTAAGCCCGCACAACCACCTGTACATATCACAGGCATAAGTGCTACGTACTGTGCCATTTCATTCCTCGTAATGTGCTATGTCTGCACTTCTGGGCTTCTGGCATGAGAATTGAGAGTTTCTAATGAGATTAAAATGAGAATCACATGGTTAACTAAGCAAGTGTACAACAGAGGTAAGCACTACATGGTAGTAAAGAGCTAAATCCTACTAACATCTTCACACATGAGTCATATTCACCAGCTAAAAAGCAACTGAACTAGTGCACCAGCCTTCATGAAAGCAATCAAGCAGTTATCAAGCATCATCCATCTCGCGCTCTTCCTCGTCCAGTGGAGTATCATCAAGCGTCGCCTCCTGATACTGTTGATACTCTGAAACCAGGTCGTTCATGTTGCTCTCTGCTTCCGTGAACTCCATCTCATCCATTCCTTCTCCTGTGTACCAATGCAGGAAGGCCTTCCTCCTGAACATAGCTGTGAACTGCTCACCAACCCTCTTGAACATTTCCTGAATCGAAGTGGAGTTCCCGATGAACGTGGATGACATCTTGAGTCCTGTGGGAGCCACGTCGCACACACTCGACTTCACGTTGTTGGGGATCCACTCCACAAAGTAAGAGGAGGTCTTGTTCTGAATATTCAGCATCTGCTCGTCAACCTCCTTGGTGCTGACTTTTCCCCTGAAGACTGCTGAAGCAGTCAGGTAGCGACCATGGCGTGGATCGGCGTAGCACATCATGTTCTTCGCATCCCACATCTGCTGAGTTAGCTCCGGAACGGTCAATGACCTGTACTGCTGGGAACCCCGAGAAGTCAGAGGCGCGAATCCAACCATGAAGAAATGCAAACGAGGGAACGGAATCAAGTTCACGGCAAGCTTCCTGAGATCGGAGTTGAGCTGCCCAGGGAAGCGAAGACAGCACGTAACCCCACTCATGGTCGCAGATATAAGATGATTCAAATCTCCAACTGCAGCAAAAGCAAAACAAACAAAATGTTAATTTAAAAAATGAAACACGCAAGCATTAACTAGAGAAAATCGCTTAAACGCCAACTTACAGCTCGGATTAGCCAGCTTCAGAGTTCGGAAGCAAATGTCATAAAGCGCCTCGTTGTCAAGAACCATGCACTCATCCGCATTCTCGACCAGTTGATGGACAGAAAGCGTCGCGTTGTATGGCTCTACAACGGTATCCGAAACCTTCGGCGACGGGAACACCGAGAAGGTCATCATCATCCTGTCAGGAAACTCTTCACGCATCTTGGAGATAAGAAGAGTTCCCATTCCAGAACCGGTTCCGCCGCCAAGAGAGTGACATACTTGGAAACCTGCAACCATGAAACGAAACATGATTAACAAATATTCCAGGGGAAAATAAACATTCAGCATGCTTGAAGCAGTCATACCTTGAAGGCAGTCACAGTTCTCGGCCTCCTTTCGAACAACATCGAGAACGGAGTCGATAAGCTCAGCACCTTCCGTGTAGTGGCCTTTAGCCCAATTATTTCCAGCACCGCTCTGACCAAAGACAAAGTTGTCCGGCCTGAAGATCTTCCCATAAGGACCAGCGCGAACGCTGTCCAAGACACCCGGTTCTAGGTCCATAAGAACAGAACGCGGAACATAACGGCCTTCGGACGCTTCATTGAAGTAAACATTGATCCGATCAAGTTGAAGGGCGGAATTCCCACGATAATCCCCGACTGGGTTGATTCCATGTTCTTCACAAACGACTTCCCAGAACTTCGCTCCGATCTGATTCCCGCACTGGCCTGCCTGAACGTGAAGAATTTCCCTCATGGTCGTAGTTGTCGGAGTAAACTGGATTCGATGCAGAACTGGATTCAAAACAGAAGTAGTTGTCTCGGCTGAACTGGCTTCAAAGAGAAGCAAAACTCAACAGAAAGGAGATGGCGTTCTCGAAACTGTTCCCGCTCTCTTTGTAGCCAAAAAGCCCGCTCCGTGCGACTTGTCAGTTCGCGCCCTCGAGATTGGTGCTTCCTGGTGACAGAGAGACGCAAATATCTAGGCACTGTACACTTAAAACAACCGACCAAAGCGCCAAAATATTTTGAGAATTCAGCAGCTTACGTTTCAGAACTACAATGTTTCAATCACCTTTCCCAAAATGCAACTTTTCTTCTACACATAGTACCACATCCACCAGATATTTTTTTTCCTAACTTAATAATTCTAGGCATTGTTGCACTTGTCAGATTTATATGACATAGCTACTGTAGGCTATAGCGGGGTAGCACATATGGGGTACAGTTTTCTAGGGTTTACATTTGTACCCAACTTTCCCTTAGTCAATCTCATTCCTCGTTTCTTCTCATGGTATCGAGCAGGTTCCCTAGTGGGAACGATTCCTAGGGCCCACCACCACGAATTTTTTTTCTTTCTTTCCTGCCCGGAGCGCGCTTCGCTCCGGCCCGAGTCGCGCCCTGTGTGCTCTCCCTACCGTCGCGCCCTCGCTAGGCCCCTCACGGCCCCGTCGCGTCGCCCTTAGCGGCCCTCTCCCGGCTCCCTAGTGCCGCCCTTACGGCCCGTCGCGCCGCCCTTACGGCCCGTCGCGCCGCCCTTACGGCCCCTCGTGCCGCCCTTACGGCTCCTAACGCCGCCCTTACGGCCCAGCGAGCCGCCCCTTACGGCCCCTTACGGCCCCTCACGCTACCCTTCGGCCCCTCCCGCTGCCCGTCGGCCCCTTCAGGCCCCCCCCTCGCGGCCCTTCGAGCCGCCTTCCGCGGCCTCCTCACCGCCCGTCGCCGCCCTCGGCGGCCCCTCGTGGCCCTTCACGGCCTCTCCGCCGCCCTTCGCGGCCCCTAGCGGCCGGCCGCCCCCGTCTCTGAGGCAGCAGCCGCCGCCGTCTCTGCAGCAGCAGTCGCCACAGCTTCTGCGACTGCTGCCGCGGTCGTCACCAGCCACACCAGCCGCCGAGCCGCCCAGCAGCCGAGCAACCGAGCCGCCGCGCCGCCCAGCAGCCGAGCCGCCGAGCCGCCGAGCCGCCCAGCAGCCGAGCCGCCGAGCCGCCGAACCGCCCAGCAGCCGACCGCCGAGCCGCCCGGACCGCCGAGTCGCCGAGCCGCCCAGCCGCCCGAGCCGCCCGAGCCGCCCGAGCCGCCGAGTCGCCCGAGCCGCCCGAGCCGCCCGAGCCGCCGAGCCGCCCGAGCCGCCGAGTCGCCGAGCCGCCGTACTGCCGAGCCGCCGAGCCGCCCGAGCCGCCCTGTCCGGTAAGAGCAGCGCCTCTATCACTGCACTGCCCTTACCCTACTGTTCGCGCTGCTAGTCTACTGCTGTCATGGCTACCCCTAGTGTCCTCGCCTTTGACGCTGAGGGTCGGGCCATTGACTTTGACGTCTGGATAGATGACCTGCAGCTTTTCTTACAGTGCGATAGGGCAGACGGTCTCTCCCTCTTTGACCTCACCTCTGGTGCCTCTCCTGCCCCTGCTGCTGATGCCGACGCCACTGTTCGCTCACAGTGGGCCACACGCGATGCTGCTGCACGTCTTCCTGTGCGTCGCCACCTGCCTACCTCTGAGCGTGCGCACTTTAGCCAGTACAAGAGTGCTCAGACCTTGTACGACGCTGTAGTTGCGCGCTACTCCTCCCCTGCCACTGCTGCACTGAGCCGCCTCATGCTACCGTACCTCTTCCCTGACCTTGCTGCCTTTCCCACAGTCGCTGACCTCATTACGCACCTCCGCACTAGTGACACTCGCTACCGCGCTGCGCTTCCTGCTGAGTTCTGCGCCAAGAACCCCCCCCCCATGTACATCACCCTCTACTACATAGTCACCCGGCTCCCTGACTCCCTTCGCGTAGTCAGGGACCACTTCCTCTCAGTTTGCCCCACCACTCTCACCGTTGACCTCCTCGAGAAGGCCCTCCTAGCAGCAGAGAAGAGCATAGTCGCTGTAGGAGCCTCTCGTGGTGACCCTCGCACCCCCGTCTTTGAGGGGTGTTCCCCCTCCCCCCTTTTGCCCTCTGTTGCCTCTGCTGCTGCGGCCGACCTCGTTGGTTTCGAGTCGGTCGGCGCTGCGTCTACCCTGAGCGAGAGACGCCGCCCCGGCAAGGGCAAGGGGGGCAAGGGTGCTGGAGGGGCTGGCGGGGGTGGCGGAGGTGGCGGTGGCGGCAGTGGAGGGGGTGGGGGTGGTGGTGGGAGTGGTGGCGGGGGTGGAGGTGTCGGTGGCGGCAGTGGAGGCGGAGGCGGCGGCGGCGGTGGCGGTGGCGGTGGGAGCGGAGGTGGCGGAGGTGGCGGCGGTGGAGGAGGCGGCGGTGGAGGAGGTGGAGCTGGTCGGGGTGGCGCTGCGCAGAGGGTCGGCTCCGGTGGTGGTCAGCGCCAGCAGCAGCAGCAGCAGCGGCAGCAGCGCACTCGTGACATCCCCC